AGCTTTGACAAGACGGAACTTTCGTGACAAAGTAATGTTTCTGCTTTTTAATATGCTTTCTCAGTTGGTCATAACGTTCCTTCCAAGGAGTAAGCATCTTTTAATTTCATGGCTGCAATCACCATCTGCAGTGATTTTGGAGCCCAGAAATATAAAGTCAGCCACAGTTTCATTTCAGAATTTTCCACAGTTTATTGTGATCCACACAGTCAAAGGCTTTGGCATAGTCAATAAAGCAGAAATAGATGTTTTTCTGGAACTTTCTTGCTTTTTCGATGATGCAGTGGATGTTGGCAATTTGATCTCTGGTTCCTCTGCCTTTTCTAAAACCAGCTTGAACATCTGAAGTTCAGGGTTCACGTAGTGCTGAAGCCTGGTGCATGAGCGCTGCTGCTCAACAGCGCCAACGCTGTGGCTGCGTTGGCGCAGAAGGGCAGATGGTTTTCTGGTCGGCTCTGGACTTGTGGTTTTCCGGGCTTGTGGCTTTCCGGGCGGCTCTGGGTTCCTTCCCCGGGGTCCAGGACACCCACTTCCCAGGGACCCGGCTGAGCCCTGTGGGGCCTCAACAGCATTCCCTGTAGCGTCCAGGCCCCCTCTTTTCCTAGCGTCACCTCCCAAACTCTCCGCGTTACTGCTTCACTAAGGCACCCCTGTTTTGGCCCGGAGCTCCCGCAAGTAGCCCAGGGGAGCCACCGAGGAGTAAAGGACCCGACCCAGGGGAAGGGAAAGAGGAGAGAGGGGCGTCGCCACCCCGCAAGAAGTTTCGAGAACCCCCGCGCACACCACCACCCCTGTTCAGGTCTTAACTCACCCAACTTCTCCGCGCCCCCGCCCAGCGGTTTCCTCCCCGAACTCACCGCCCGGCTTCCCGCTGAACCAGACAATGAGAAGCAAGTCCAGGAAGCCAAGACGGGTCTCGGGGCCACTCATATCTACCTTTGCCACCTGGATCTCGATTTTGCAGGAGTGGAGGGTGCCAGGTCAGAGGAGCGGATCCTTCCTGGGGAGGCAGACACTGCACTTCTGGGGCCGCCGGCGTTGCTCTGCCGGGATGCCCCGCCCCACCCAAGGCAGGGCCGGCTCAGTCATTAACCTGAGGCTTCCCCAGACTGCTAGCAGTGGGTCAGGGTGTTGCCACTTCCTCCTCTTCCCACTTCTTGCAGGCGTTTTGTGGGCTGATAGCCACAATCTTCCTAGTTAGATCATTTTGTCATTTTGGTCTCCCTAATTAATAGAAATTGATCAGAGGTCAGGGAAGAATTTCTGGCAAGAAGGTCATGGAGGGGAGAGCTCAGGGCTTCCTCCTTCCCCATCCTGAGCTTGCCTTGGATGATCACTGACCTTGTCACTGAACTGAGTTTCCTCAGGGTTCTCCACACCATCTTATGAAAACCTGAAGGAACTTTTTCAGCCAGCCCAGTTACTGTTTCTGGTGCCAGTTCAGGTGGCAAACTTGCTTGATGAACGTCGTCTGTGTCCTGACCCTTCCACTGACCTGTCCTTCTCTCATCTCTCTCCCTCTCCTTGGGCTTCCTGAGTCCCAGAGACACAGCAGTATTGAAATTAGGCCAGTTCATCACTCTGCAAGTTTGCTTCAGTCCCATTTATTTTTCCTTCAAAATTTCCATGCCAATGTATTTTGAAGGATTCTGTGTAATTCTACAGGTTGTTTGCCCCTCCTTTTTTTTTTTTTTGTATAATTGTACAACCTTTGAAAACTACAAAAGTTATAATGATCCAGTATTATTTGTCATTCAAACAAAACAAAACATAAAAACCCAACTTCTTCTTCCTCTCAGCAACCATCCAAGAGGAATTAAAGTTCCTGAAAGAAGGCCAATTCAAGATGGCTTCTACTATGGTAGAAACAGACAACAAAAAGATGAGGAAAAGCAATAAAGAAATGGGTCCTCATCAAACTTATATACTTTTGCACAGCAAAGGAAACCATAGACAAAACAAAGAAGGCAAACTACAGACTGGGAGAAAAGATTTGCAAATGATGCAGCTGACAAGGGCTTAATTGCCAAAATATATGAAAAGTTCTTACAACTCAATAATAAAAACAAGGAACCCAATCAAAGAGGCAGAAGATCTAAATAGACATGTCTCCAAAGAAGGCATACACATGGCCAATAGGCATGTGAAAAGATGCTCAATGTCAATATTTATTATTTTTAGTTAATTAAATTTTTAAATTTTATCTAGGGTTATCCTAGAGGCAAACAGATGAGCAGTGAGCCCTATTAAAAACTGCATGATTGAAAGGAAAATTTATAAAAAGAAAAACAGGGACAAACACAAGGCTGGATGTTCAGGAAGCTGAATGCAGACATCCCAACAAAATGTCCAGATCCTCTGTGCAGTTTCCAGCACTGAGTCGGGTCTTATACTCAGAATCCATTACTAGAGACAGAGATGCCAGGCATCAGCAAGGAGGGCCCTCTTATCACCACAGCAAGTGCACAAGTCCTTCTGGCCTTTGGAAGTCATATAGTCATTGACTGGGGTAAGTGTACACTTGGCAGAGAAGCTACGCCCACATTCATCAGGACCTGGAGTGGGACTGACATCATGTCCAGTAATCTGAAACATCACCACGGCCGAATGTTATTACTGCGGTGCCTGAGGTCTGTGGTAAGGAATACATATCTGTCCCACGTTCTGCCCACAGGAGTGTCCCCATCCACTGATCCTCAGAGTGCTCATTTCACATCCGTTGCATTTGCAATATGAATGAAAAATCTTCACAGTTAGTATATTACCATGCGGTGAGGGCCACTGTAGAAGTGGTTTCCAAGTTCACACTTCTGACACTGACCTTCAGCCCCCAATAGTACGTGTAAACAATATCACATCCCAGAGAAAATGACAGAGAGGAGTACCAACCTACAAGCTCTCCAGGGCTGCAGGAGTGTCATCCCTATCCTATCTCCATTTAATTCCCCGTGTGGCCATTGATTTCTATAATTGTACATATGATATAATTCAGGCTCTGCAGACCATAGTTTTCTGTTACAACTGCTGTCCTAGCACAAAAGCAGTCACAGACAATTGGTGAATGATGACCTCCTTCTTGGGCAGATGACCCAGCAGAACCTGTGACATCAGAGGTATCTGTGGTTGGCAAGGTGCTATGTGTTGAATATAGCATTTTACTTGGAGGTTCACAACACAGACCCTTTATGTCCTGAAGCAAGGCCAAGTGATGTGCAGTGGGGTATACTACAGCATTTAAATGTGACTCCTGCTATGGTCCTGGGGCTGGTAGAGATGAGGCCTCTGGTCCTGGAATGTCAAAGTTGTCCATCATGATCTGGGCTCATCAACCCCTAAACATTAGTCCACATGGACCAGCCATCAGAGGATAGAACTGATCATGTGGTTTGGCATAAGCAGGGCCACAGGGAACAAATAAGATGTACCTGCAGGTGGCCTATGCCTGACATCAGAATTGTTGTAGGACCACTGTTCTCCAGGGCCTGCCCCCATGGCTCAGCAGTAAGGAATCTGCCTGCAATGTAGGAGCTGGAGTAGATGTGGGATCTATCCCTGGGTGAGAGAAGATCCCATGGAGAAGGGCATGGCAACCCACTCCAGTGTTCTTGCCTGGAGAATCTCTTGGACAGAGGACCCTGGTGGGCTATAGTCCATAGGGTTGCAAAGAGTTGGACATGACTGAAGCGACTTAGCATGCACACACTATTCTCTGCTCATGCCTGAGACTTCATGCAGTGTCCCCTATATCTCCATGGACCAAGGAAGCCACTCTAGAGCAGAGGGGGTCAGGGGATATTAGCCCATATCTGCTGGACCCACACTCCTTTCACATTCATGCCAACCAGAACCTACAAGACAGGACAGAGTAAGTTTCTGGTTCATAAACAGAAAGCTAAGGCACCCCTTGGGTGAATCCCTAGGGGATGAATCATCTATTACTGTGGTGTGACCCAGGGCAGCCACTCGGCTCTTTTGGTTTTTTTCAGGTCGTCTTTGCCTGCTCTTGTACCACAGATGTGGAGAAATAAAATGGCACAGACACCAAAAGTCTTGCCGAGACCGACAGATTTACTCTCTGTCTTTTGAAGAAAAGGTTCTCCAGCTCCTGTCTTTTTTTCCCCCCCAACTCCTGTCTTAAATAATGGCTATTCTAGACCACTGTGTCCATGGTCTTAGGGAATATGAATGTGGGGCCGAAGGGTAGAAGTGGGGATACCCTGTGTCACACACTTTGGGAAACTCTTTTCCTAGCTCTCCTTCTTTATGTCCTGGGGACCAGGCTGGGAGGCTTCTGCTGGGATGAATTCTCACGCAAGAGGATAGGGTGGCAGTTGACAGAGGCCATGCTTAGGGTCCCTTCCCAGACGGGAAGTTGTTGGAGGCCCTGAGGTTCTTGGGACGGGGAGGGTATGGAAAGAATAGTGTTGTAACCAAGCAGGACTCTAAGGAGGCTTCCTAGAACACAGTCCACCCATCTCCCCACACCTCCCTCCTGCACTGCCCGCCCACTGCCCGCCCAGGTTGCGCAGTCCACCTAGACCCTCGCCCATCTCCCGCCCCCACCCTCCGCCCAACGCAACTGGTCAGACTGCACCCAGTCTTCCCCTGCACCCCGTGGGTTCGGTCCCTTGGGAGCAGCCGCCACCCGTCCTGCTCGGGCTCCAACGGATCCGAATTCCCGAGGGGCGGCCCGGGGATTGCAGCAGCACTTCTTGCGGCCGCCCTGGCTCCCACTTCTCCCTGCTTCCCCTCCCTTCCTGCTGGGATTCCTTTTTCACCCAGATCGTGTCTTTTACTTAGGGGGATTGGGAGGGACGGGAGACGGCAACCAGCCCGGGAGTCGGGGCGGAGGAGCAGGAGCCCAACGGGAAAGGAGCGCGCGGAGTCTAAAAGCAGGGAGGCGGCCCGGCGCGGGTTCCCGAACCCCGGCGGACACCCGCATCCCTCTCGGGGTCTTAAGGCCCCGTGTCCGCTCCCCGCAGGTTAATGCCCGAACTCACCGCCTCGCGCCGGGCAGAACCTGAGAGACCCGAGTAGAAGCAGGGCCGCCAAACTAAGACGCGCCACGGAGTCAGTGGTCGCGGCCATCACCACGAGGAAAGTGCTCTGATCTGACTTCGCTGGGGGAGCGGAGCTATTTATCTGAGAGCCCGCCCCGCCCTCCCGTTCACTCCCGCCACTTCCCCGCCGGGTCACCCCCACCCCCTTCCTCGTCGGGTGACGCCTGGACAGCCCAGGGGAGCCCGGGGCCTCCTTCTCTGGCGTCCGAAGCCTCGCGTGGCCCCGCCCAGTAGCCGCCCCCTCTTGACTCACGCCTTTCTCCTCTTGTCCCTCAGCGTTTCTTTTCTCCTCCGAATCCTTCTGGCCCTCAACCTTCCTCCCATTCCCGCCTGCAGTCATCGCTGTGGGTGTCCCTCAGTCGTGTCCGACTCTTGCGACCACGTGGACTCTAGCCCGCCGGGCTCCTCTGACCGTGGGGATTCTCCAGGCAAGAGACCTTCAGTGGGTCGCCATGGCTTCCTTCTCTGGATTTTCCTGACCCTGGGATCGAAGTCCGATCTCCTACGTTGCAGGCAGAGGCTTTACTGACTAAGGTAGGAGGGAAGCCCTGCTTTTCTTAAAACACTCAAGATTTACACGCCACCCACCACCCCACAACTACCCACACCAAAGAAACTCTGCGGATCTCTTGAAAGGGGCTGGAGACAGTCCTTAACTGCAGTGTCATCCGCCATAGGTTTTCCAGTAGTTTTTGCCCCAGAGTAGTCCTAGACCTTTGGTGGGCCAAAGTAACTACTCATTAGAAAGGGTTGGAGGACTGAGGCCAGAACCTGAATTTCCATGTTCCCCGTGGAGACCGGGATCCAGCGCTGCCACCGGGCGCCACCTGGCGGTCTCTTCCGGCTGCTTGTTCTATACTGGTAGCCTGTGTGATCCATTTTCTTCCCCCTCATAATTTACTTTTATGAAGCATCCAGCCAGCATTGAACATCTGTTTCACATCACAGGGCTATCAGCTGGCGAAGAGTGAGATGATCCAACACTCTTTGGGACTGACAAGACCTCCTAATTCTTGGGAAGTGGTCTATCTATGACATAGTGGTCTATCAATGACATTGAGAGATCAACGTCTGTGACAGGGACATCCATCTCTCTGTTATCACGGGGCTTCTGGCCTTTGCTAGCTTCAGGGGTGACTGAGCCCTGACCTCGGAGGGTCGCGCTGACCCCTCAGCACGGGCAGTGCTCCATTTCATGTCTTGTGACTGAGTGAGGATGGGTTCCCTATGGATAGATTTGGAAATGGATGTGAGCAGAATATGGGGAGTAGCAAGAGCAATCAGGTGGAGTTTCATGTTCTTGGAAGGATGCTCGTTATCAACACTCATTAAAATCACCTCCTAGTTGGTTCCACTCCCATCTGGGGTGTACTCTCTGTCTGGGGGTGGCCAAGCCTGTCCAGAGAGGCCCATCTTCCCCCACCCGGCTGTCCTGACCAGGACCCTTATGCTGTACTTCTGTCTTTCTCCTGTTCTCCCAGTCACTTGCCTCCTCACCAGCCTCCTCCACTGGGGCTACCTGGTCCTCGTGTTGCCTCTTCCCAGAGATTGAACCCAAGCCCCTGCTCCCCAGGCCTATGCATGAGAGTCTTCCCCTGACACATCTATCACCTGAACCCACCAAGTTGCTGCCCCACCCAAGCCTGCATCCTGTCCTCCTCCAAGCCCCCATGTGTCACTTGTCCCCAAATTGATAAACACCAGGCTCTTGGCCTCCTTCATCAATAGAAAGCAATCAGAGTCCTGACAATAGAAATAAATCAAATTTCTTAATCAAAAGAAATTGAGGCAAGGCTTTATTGGGGCTCCTGCTGCAGCAGAGGGGAGTGAGAACAAATGACAGGTTCCTTGCTTGCTCGCTCTCCGAGGTACTGGGGCGAGCTTGTTCCTTCTAAGGGGAGAGGGGAGGGGTGTTTCCAAGGGTCAGTCAGGGGCGTGGCTTAGGTGACCGGCTGATCCCTTAAGTATTGTTGTGTGCTGGGGGCATGTGGGGCATTCTGATTTTGCTCTGGTCTCTTCAAAAGTAGCAGTTGGGTTTTTCAACTCTTTGTATCTTTTTTCCGGAATTTGCTTAAACTACTCCAACTAAAAAACAATCTGTTTTTTTAAACCTTTTTATTTTGTATTGGGTATAGAAAACAGTGTTGGGATAGTTTCAGGTGAACAGCTAAGGGACTCACTTGTACACATACATGTATCCATTCTCCCTACACTCCCATCCTGATAGGGCAGTCACATAACATTGAGCAGAGCTGTGGATTTGTTCCTTGGGCGGGGAAGATCCCCTGGAGAAGGAAAGAGCAACCCACTCCAGTATCCTTGACTGGAAAATTCCGTGGACAGAGGACCTGGCAGGCTACAGTTCGTGAGGACAGAAAGAGTTGGACACACACAGAAAGATACACACACAGACACACCATGTCTTAGGCCCTTGATGGCTCTCCATTTAAAATAGAGCAGGGAGTACATGAACTTTCCATCCTCCCTAACCATCTCTTTCCCCCATCCTACCCCCAGCAACTAGAAGTTTGTTGTTTAAGTAAGTCTATGAGTCTGTTTCTGAGAATGCAAAACATCCTTATTGCTGTTATGAAGAAAGTTTTATGGGTTTGGATAGAAGATCCAACCAGCCACAACATTTTCTGAAGCCAAAGCCTAATTGAGATCAAAGTCTTAAGTCTCTCCATTTTTATGAAGGCTGAGAAAGGTGAAAAACCTGTAGAAGAAAAATTTGAAGCCAGCAGGGCATGGTTTATGAACTTTAAGGAATGAAGCCATCTCTATAAGATAAAGTGCAGAGTGTAGTAACTAGACCTGCTGTAGAAGCTGCTGCAAGTTTTCTAAAAAATTTAGCTAAGATATCTGTGAAGGTGGCTCCACTGAGTCAGAGATTTCCAGTGTAGACAAAATTTCCATCTGTTGGAAGAAGATGCCCGCCGGGCCTTTGATACCTGGAGAGGAGTAGTCAATGCCTGGCTTCAAAGATTCCAAGAACAGGCTGATTCTCTTGATAAGGACGAATGCAGCAGATTATTGGAAGTCGATGGTCATTTATCACTTGGAAAATTCTAAGGCCCTTTAGAATTAGGTGAATCTGTTCTGCCTGTGCTCCGTAAATGAAACAATGAAGCCTGGATGATTGCATATCTGTTTACAACAGTGGTGGCCAAGTGTTTTAAGTCCAATGTTCAGACCAACTCCTCAGAAAGAAAGATTCCTTTCAAAATATTACTGTTGATTGACAAAGCATCCAAGAATGTGATGGAGAAGTACAATGAGGCTCATGTTATTTTCATGGCTGCCAACACAACATCCATTCCGATGCACATGGATCATGGAGTAATTATGATGTTCAACTCATAGTATTTAGGAAGTACATTATAAACTATAGCTGCATAGATAGTTATTCCACTGTTGGATCTGGGCAAAGTCAACTGAAAAATTTCTGCACTGAATTCATTAAAAAAAAAAAAGATATAGTCTTTTTAAAAAACATTTACTAAGTTATTTTTTTTTGTTGCATTTGTCTTAATTGAGGCACACAGCATCTTTGTTGGGTCATGCATCATCCTTCATTGCAGCACACAGACTGTCTAGTTTCGGTGCCTGGGCCCAGTAGTTGCAACCCGTGGGCTTAGTTGTTTGGTGACATGTGGGATCTTAGGTCTCTGAACAGGTATCAAGCCATCATTCCTCACATTGGAATGTAGATTCTTCATCACTGGACACCAGGGGTGTCCCTTTACATTGAATTCATGATTCTAGAGTCCACTGAAAACAGTGAATCATGGGAATAGGTTGAAATAACATCAATGTGAATATGGGAGAAGTAGATTTCTACCTTCACAGATGACTTTGAGGGGTTCAAGAATTCACTGGAGAAGGTAACCACAGATGCAGTGGAAATAACAAGGAAGCTAGAGTTAGAAGTGGAGCCTGAAGATGTGGCTGAATTGCTACAATTTCACCATGAAGCTGAAATGAATGAGAGTGCATTTTCATTGTTATGGATGAGCAAAGAGAGTGGCTTCTTGAGACAGAAACTGCTCTTGGTGAAGAAACTATGAAGATTGTTGACAACGAAGGATTTAGAACATAAGATAAATTTAGGTGAAAAAAGCAGCAGCAGCCTGCAGAGGATTAACTCCAGTTTTGAGAGAACCTCTGCTGTGGGTAAGAACACTGTAAAGGGCACTGCATGCTCCAGAGAAATCTGGGAAAGGAAGAGTCAGACGATGTGGCAAATTTCACTGTTGTCCTCTTTTCAGAAATTGCCCTGCCCACCCCAACCTTCAGCAACCACCACCCTGATCAGTCAGCAGCCACAGACACTGAGACAAGACCCTCCACCCGTAAAAAAGATTTTGACTCATGAAGGCACAGGTGATGCTCAAACTACTTTATTTTAGAAACACAGTGTTGTTAATTAAACTTTGTATATTATTTATCTAGTCATAAAGCTATTGCACACTTAGACTTCAGACAGTGTCAACAGAACTATATACATAGTGCAAAATGAAAAATGTGTGTGATTCACTATTATGATATTCAATTTACGGCCCTGGTCTGGATCCCAACCTGGAATATCTCTGAGGTTTTGCTGTATCTACATGGTTTTTCATGGCTGTATCTATGGGCTTCACATTTTCTATCTGGAACTAAAATTGGGTTCATTGTGTAGTATGATGGACAAGGATCTACGGTTGAGATATAGTGAAATATACATCTCAAGACATGATTCAATTTTATTCCTACAAACAATGTAAGAAAATTGCTATTGTATTTCCTGTACCACTTGATCCTGACTTATTTAAAAGGCTGTCAGTTATATGAATATGTGAGGGTATCCCAGCATTTTTTTTGTCAGGTTGACTTTTCAGGATATGTTCAATCTTTTCACAGGTTTACAGTTCTATGAAGACCTACATGACTTTCTAGAATTAACACCAAAAAAGATGGCCTTTTCATCATAGGGGATTGGGATAAAAAGTAGGAAGTCAAGAGATTTCTGGAGTAACAGGCAAGTTTGGCCTCGGAGCAAAAAAATGAAGGCAGGCGAAGGCTATTT